GAGTGTATAACTGAGCTCCACAGCAACAATACTCCCAGTAATGTGTCTGAGTGTATAACAGAGCTCAACAGCAATAATACTCCCAGTAATGTGTCTGAGTGTATAACAGAGCTCCACAGTAATAATATTCCCAGTAATGTGTCTGAGTGTATAACAGAGCTCCACGGCAATAATACTCCCAGTAATGTGTCTGAGTGTATAACAGAGCTCCAGAGCAATAATACTCCCAGTAATGTGTCTGAGTGTATAACAGAGCTCCACAGCAATAATACTCCCAGTAATGTGTCTGAGTGTATAACAGAGCTCCACAGCAATAATACTCCCAGTAATGTGTCTGAGTGTATAACACAGCTCCACAGCAATACAACTCACAGTAATGAGCAATGTGTGAGTATCACAGAGCTCTACAGCAATACAACTCGTAACAATGTGCAGTGAGTGAGTATCACAGAGCTCCACAGCAATAAACTCACAGCAATGTGCAGTGTGTGAGTATCACAGAGCTCCACAGCAATAAACGCACAGCAATGGGCAATGTGTGAGTATCACAGAGCTCCACAGCAATAAACTCACAGTAATGGGCAAAAAGTATTTAGTTTCATCGCAATGGCCATTAAAGTGTAAGCTCATCTGCCACATCAAGTCAAGCCTCTTAGGTGAGTCCTACTAACAATTCACCTCGCTGCTTTCAGCTAAAAAGTAAAATCTGTAGAATGACACAGACAGAGGAGGTTTGCTTTGTGTGCCTAGGTGTCCTATTAAGGGGTAATAATTGTGTAGGTTTACATAGGAATACCCTGTGTACACAATCTTTACACACAGCCAAGACTGGCTGACTGGCAGGGCTGTGTGTTAGCCTGGCAAATCTGTATGGAATTAGCTGAATAAATAAAACAGCCGCTGAAATTAAATTGTTACTAGAACACTGTACTGCTCCTTTTAGCCATAATGCATATTTACTCATTACACAATTGTGCTCCAATGGGATTTTCTGGTTTCGGTTATACAATGCAGACATATTTTAGTTCCAGTCATTTTGATTATTTTTGGAGTTTTCTCTCAACACCCAACGCAGAAGCTTCTAAAGTAGTTTTATAAACTGCAATATTTATCTCCTCCAGCCACTGGAAGGACTTCCGGAATTAAAGAGGACCTTTAGTCCGTTATCGGACGCTAGACATTCTCACGCTCTGCATGAATACCTCCAGCATCAGATTTTCCCCATAGGAAAGCATTGCGTGGGCGGAGTTGAGTCAGTGCCAAGTAACATCGGTGCTGAGCCCAGGTAAGTGACTAAAGGGGTTAATAACCCGTTCAGCATTGCGGGAGGGAGCCTTGACAGAGGGAAAAGCTAGAATGCCAGGAAAATGTGTTTGTTTTCCTGGCACTATAGATTCCCTTTAATGGCTCCTATCTGAGCAAACAATGAGATTCTGTTCCACCATACTGCCATATTGTGTTATGCCCACCACCACTTAGCAGTACCCCAATATTGGTGGGTCTCTATGAGGAATAATGCAAACCAATATGTACAGTGACAAGGCCACTTCTTTAAAGGTGCTGTGCCTTTAAGATCAGCGACACTTCCGGGATCGCCGATCGCTAAGCTCCGCCAACGCGTCTGACTTCATGTGCTTTCCTAATTTATTTCAGCCACAGCAACTTTGAAGGGCTCAGTTACTTTGTTTAACCAAGCGATTCAAAGCTGCCTTTTGAGCTCATACTAACTCCAATCTTGTGTACCGATCTTTACTTGCTACACTACACTTCTGTACACTGCCTTCTGTACTCCCAACCTCGGCTTCCAAGATTGGCCACGCTGCTCACCCAACCTCGGCCTCCAAGATTGGCCACGCTGCTCACCCAAGCTCGGCCTCCAAGATTGGCCACGCTGCTCACCCAACCTCGGCCTCCAAGATTGGCCACGCTGCTCACCCGACCTCGGCCTCCAAGATTGGCCACGCTGCTCACCCGACCTCGGCTTCCAAGATTGGCCACGCTGCTCACCCGACCTCGGCCTCCAAGATTGGCCACGCTGCTCACCCGACCTCGGCCTCCAAGATTGGCCACGCTGCTCACCCGACCTCGGCCTCCAAGATTCATCACGCTGCTTACCCGACCTCGGCCTCCAAGATTCATCACGCTGCTCACACTTGTTCAGCTTAACTTCAGTTGACCACAGCAAGTATCAGGATCTACCAGTTAATCCTTTCTCCTTAATAAAACCTGCATATTATTCCTTCACATAGAGAGTAATCATTCCCTTCAGGCTTTCTGCAGTAAACACGTTTTTTTCAGAGAAAATGCAGTGTTTACATTACAGCCTAGTGGTAACTCTACCGGCCACTCCTCAGATGGCTGCTAGAGGTGCTTCATGGGTCAGTGCTGCACAGTGTGACTGACATTCAGTGTCTCCACTCTCTTGCATGGAGACACTGATCTTCCCTTATAGAGATGCATTGATTCAATGTATTTCTATGAGGAGATGCTGATTGGCCAGAACGGTTTGGCTTGTGCTGACTTGGCTCCTGATCTGCCTCCTGGACCGTGTCAGCCAATCCTATGGGAAAGCATTGTGATTGGCTCAGAACAACACTTCTGATGATGTCATCCAAGCAGGCAGATCTGTGGCAGATCTGTGGCAGAGCCAACAGCTGCAGACTTGAACAAAAATAAGATTTTGCTATATATGGTGGGGGCAAGGTGGACTACATGGTGGTTTTAACACTATAGGGTCAGGAATAAATGTTTGTGTTCCTGACACTGTAGTGTTTCTTTAATTGAAGATTGAATCTTTTGTCTAATGTTAATTTCTATGGGCTTTCTCCATTATTCCCAAATATATACAGGTGCTACATGTATATTGAATTATCTATTGAATATAATTTTCAAAAAAACTTCATTATCAAGAATTGATTGTTCATCTCGAATCTCTATTATTCTTCAAATTGCCTCATATATTCAAATAATAATTTAGGGGAAATCACCTGAACTATTTTTTCTCTTAAAGAGACACTTATTTTAAAAAGATTTCTGCAATTGAGTTCCGTAAAGAAAAACTGAACTGAACCTAACAAAGTGGTATTCCAGGTGCCAAGACCCCAGAGAGGGTAAAAAAGCTCACAGAAAATGGGTAAATTGGTTAAAATCTTAACGAACCTATTGCAGTTTAATCTAGTTCTGGGTGAGTTCGGTGAGGGAGTGGCCGTTAATCTAGAACTGAAACAGAAAGTATTTTAGAGCCATTTCCTACACTAAAATGGATGTTAGCTGAAATCATGTAAGTAACAAACAGACAAAGTGTATAACCTGAACGTGGAGAGATTGCGAAATTCTACAAATGATCTTATGTTAATGTACGCTGTGTGTTTGCCTGCTTTCATACAGTGTGTGTGTTTGGAAATCTCAATGTAGTCTTCCTGAGAAAATCCTTTCTAAATAATTGTGTCTGATTAGACTGTGAAGCTTTATTGGAGATTGCTTTATGGCGGATAGAATAACGTACCGATGGTTGTATTGGGGTGAGGGGGGATGTCTTGTGTTTCCTGCGGATAAGACTGTTGTAGTTGATAACTCATAAACCTCTGTTTCCTAAACACTGATAATTTAAATTACGCCCCATATACTGTCTGTCAATCAGGGCCGGCACAAGCCTCTGGCTGAGGACTCTGATTTTTCAGTTCACCTCTCTCTCCCTGCAGCCTCCACGAAGCAGGCAGGGACTGTGCGTCCACACGGAAAATGCTGTTGTAAAGAATGAGACATACAAGGGAGTGTAAAACAGGGTATACAATACACTAAAGGGGTTAAGAAATTCAAAAGGGGGTTTACCAGACACCGGTGAAGATGCATTTTTGGGGGAGAGGGGAATGGGGTGGCAAAATGCAGCTTCGCCTGTGATGCCAATAACCCTTGCACCAGCCCTGCTGTCAATCATTTGTTTTAGATTCTGGCTGTTTTCATGCCAGATCCCCGTTTTCTTCCACAAACTGTGAAAACACTTGTTCAGGGATCCCAAACTCTTTCCATCCAATGTTGCGCCTCTCTCCCATGCGCCCCCTTCTGGCTGAGTATTAGGGGGAGCATGTCCAGCCACTTTATATTCTTTAAAAATAAGTCAATGAGAAGCATTTAGGGCAGGGAGGGTGAATTCAACCACTGACAGTTTTTATGGACTTTTGTGAGAGCTTCTCTGGTTCTTTTTTCCCCATGAGCAGTTTAGGTAAACAGGTGTGGATTACTAGGATCTATATATCAGACTGAGATCAATGTGGGCCCCAGGATTGGCTGACATTTTAGCCATGTCCAGGTCTCTCTGTGCTTGTCCACGCAGTTACAGCAGTTTATAAATGTTATTTTGTTACACTGCGTTTTGTCTGAATTTTGAATTCCGAACTGAAACACGCCCGAATGACAAATCAACAGAATAGTGCGATGGGCGAGCTGTTTCGGTTAATTCGGAATTCTGTTCGCTTTACTTGGTGCTAGTAGCTTTTGAATCACTCCTTTATTTGACTGTTTAATTATTTCATTTTTTTTTGCTAAAAGGACTCTATGGATAGATTTCTCCTACATTTGTGGGTTACTGACATTTCTTGGGACTTTTGGAAATTCTTCAGCCAAAACAAAAGTTTTTTTCAGTCAAAGTTCTTCCAATCCAAAAAAAGTTTTAATTTTCAGATAAATTTACATTTGTTACAGTTTACAAGTCTGAAAGTCTGTTTACAAAACAGCAAGTCCTGCTTTCTAACCCAGTGAGACCCACGAACTGTCTAAATCCTGTCTGTAACACAGTAACTACCTACAGACAAACATACAATAACCCTGACAGCCATATAGTTATTGGGATATTGTGTATTTGCCTGTAGGTAGTTACTGTGTTACAGACAGGATTTAGTTCATGGGTCTCACTGGGTTAGAATACAGGAAGGGGTTAATCATCACTACCAACTTAATGCTTTAAATATACACAGTATGAAACTTCACTGAGACTGAAAGGCTCATCCACTGAAAGCGGTGTCTGCCTTATACTGAGCCTGTAGGTAGGTACCTGCTGTATACTGAGCCTGTAGGTAGGTACCTGCTGTATACTGAGCCTGTAGGTAGGTACCTGCTGTATACTGAGCCTGTAGGTAGGTACCTGCTGTATACTGAGCCTGTAGGTAGGTACCTGCTGTATACTGAGCCTGTAGGTAGGTACCTGCTGTATATTGAGCCTGTAGGTAGGTACCTGCTGTATACTGAGCCTGTAGGTAGGTACCTGCTGTATACTGAGCCTGTAGGTAGGTACCTGCTGTATACTGAGCCTGTAGGTAGGTACCTGCTGTATACTGAGCCTGTAGGTAGGTACCTGCTGTATACTGAGACTGTAGGTAGGTACCTGCTGTATACTGAGTCTGTAGGTAGGTACCTGCTGTATACTGAGACTGTAGGTAGGTACCTGCTGTATACTGAGTCTGTAGGTAGGTACCTGCTGTATACTGAGCCTGTAGGGAGGTACCCGCTGTATACTGAGTCTGTAGGTAGGTACCTGCTGTATACTGAGCCTGTAGGTAGGTACCCGCTGTACACTGAGCCTGTAGGTAGGTACCTGCTGTACACTGAGCCTGTAGGTAGGTACCTGCTGTACACTGAGCCTGTAGGTAGGTACCCGCTGTATACTGAGCCTGTAGGTAGGTACCTGCTGTATACTGAGCCTGTAGGTAGGTACCTGCTGTATACTGAGCCTGTAGGGGTCAGTCGGTAGGTTCCCGCTGTTAATGTCTCTATTAACCCGTTGATGACTGTCTGACGGCCACTTACCGGGATCTCACAGAGCGGACTGGCTGAGCGAGCCGGGATCAGAGACTTTATAGCGGGGCGGGGGAGGGGGCGGGGCAGGGGCGTGGCCAAAGATTTCATCAGAACTAGAGACAGGGTGATACAATGTATCTCTTACTGTAACACTATGTATCTCTGTATTACACATTATGTATCCCTGTATTACACATTATGTATCCCTGTATAACACACAATGTATCTCTTACTGTAACACTATGTATCTCTGTATTACACATTATGTATCTCTTACTGTAACACTATGTATCTCTGTATTACACATTATGTATCCCTGTATTACACATTATGTATCCCTGTATAACACACAATGTATCTCTTACTGTAACACTATGTATCTCTGTATTACACATTATGTATCTCTTACTGTAACACTATGTATCTCTGTATTACACATTATGTATCTCTTACTGTAACACTATGTATCTCTGTATTACACATTATGTATCTCTGTATTACACATTATGTATCCCTGTATAACACACAATGTATCTCTTACTGTAACACTATGTATCCCTGTATAACACACAATGTATCTCTTACTGTAACACTATGTATCTCTGTATTACACATTATGTATCCCTGTATAACACATTATGTATCCCTGTATAACACACAATGTATCTCTTACTGTAACACTATGTATCCCTGTATAACACACAATGTATCTCTTACTGTAACACTATGTATCTCTGTATTACACATTATGTATCCCTGTATAACACACAATGTATCTCTTACTGTAACACTATGTATCTCTGTATTACACACTATGTATCTCTTACTGTAACACTATGTATCTCTGTATTACACATTATGTATCTCTTACTGTAACACTATGTATCTCTGTATTACACATTATGTATCCCTGTATTACACATTATTTATCCCTGTATAACACACAATGTATCTCTTACTGTAACACTATGTATCTCTGTATCACACTACATCTCTCTGTATAACATGTATTTCGGTATAAAGAAATGTATCTCTGTATAACACACTATCTATGTCGTTATTACACACTATGTATCTCTGTGTAACACACTATATATCTCTGTATAACACACACTGTATCTCTGTGTAACACACTATATATCTCTGTATAACACACACTGTATCCCTGTATAACACACTATATATCTCTGTATAACACACACTGTATCTCTGTATAACACATTATATATCTCTGTATAACACACACTGTATCTCTGTATAACACACACTGTATCTCTGTATAACACACTATATATGTCGTTATTACACACTATATATCTCTGTATAACACACTATGTATGTCGTTATTACACACTATGTATCTCTGTGTAACACACTATATATCTCTGTAAAACACACACTGTATCTCTGTATAACACACTATGTATGTCGTTATTACACACTATGTATCTCTGTTTAACACACTATATATCTCTGTAAAACACACACTGTATCTCTGTGTAACACACTGTATGTATAACACACTATATATCTCTGTATAACACACACTGTATCTCTTTATAACACACTATGTATCTCTATATAGCACAATGTATCAATGTATCTCTTTATTACACACTATGTATCTCTGTATAACACAATGTATCAATGTATCCCTGTATAACACTCTATGTATCTCTGTATAACACACACTGTATCCCTGTATAATGCTGTGTGAAGCCAGATAGCAGTATTTCCTTATTGTACTGACTGATCACCACAGACAGAGATGACGATGTGTCTCCAGCCGAGAGCACTATTCCCACATTAATCAATGTATTTATGGTCTGCGATGTAAATTGGAGGAGATCAGGTTATTGGCAAAAGGTGTGAATTGTTCAGAATTTAAAACTAATTTTGGATTTTTATCGTAAATAGTACAATGGAAGATTGCTCCAAGTTAGGTCCATTCCCTGTTTGATTCTAAACGATGAAATTCCCAACTATTCGCCATTTAGTGAATAAGAGTGTGGAAGAGTGTTTATTCATTCCTGTCTCATTAAAAGAAACTATTCAGCAGATCCTACAGTTATTTTAATCTAGAAATATATCTAAACAATAAATACAATATTTACATAAATCAGAAGAGGAAACAATGATCATAGTTACATAGTTACATAGCTGTAAAGAGACTTGCGTCCATCAAGTTCAGCCTTCCTCACATTTGTTTTTTGCTGTTGATCCAAAAGAAGGCAAAAAAACAGTTTGAAGCACAATTTTGCAACAAGCTAGGAAAAAAATTCCTTCTTGACCCCAGAATGGCAGTCAGATTTATCCTTGGATCAAGCAGTTATTACCCTACATTGAAAGATTATATCCTTGAATATTCTGTTCTTGCAAGTATGCATCTAGTAGCCGTTTGAACATCTGTATGGACTCTGATAAAACCACTTCCTCAGGCAGAGAATTCCACATCCTGATTGTTCTTACAGTAAAAAAACCTTTCCTTTGCCTTAGACGAAATCTTCTTTCTTCCAGTCTAAACGCATGGCCTCGTGTCCTATGTAAAGTCCGGTTTGTGAATAGATTTCCACACAATGGTTTGTATTGGCCCCGAATATATTTGTATAATGTTATCATATCCCCTCTCAGGCGACGTTTTTCTAAACTAAATAGGTTTAAATTTGTTAACCTTTCTTCATAGCTGATATGTTCCATTCCTTTTATTAATTTTGTAGCCCGCCTCTGCACTTTTTCTAGTGCCATAATATCCTTCTTTAGAACAGGTGCCCAAAATTGCACAGCATATTCAATATGGGGTCTTACCAGTGATTTATAAAGAGGCAAAATGATATTCTTGTCCCGAGAATGAATGCCCTTTTTCATGCATGACAATACCTTACTGGCCTTGGCCACTGCTGATTGACATTGCACATTGTTGCATAGTTTGTTGTCTATAACAATTCCCAAGTCCTTTTCATGTGTTGTTATCCCTAATTCGCTTCCATTAAGGGTATACGTTGCTTGTGTATTCTTTACGCCGAAGTGCATAACTTTGCATTTTTCAACATTAAATTTCATCTGCCATTTGAGTGCCCAGTCCCCCAGTCTATCTAAGTCCCTCTGCAGCAAAGTAATATCTTGCTCACATTGTATTGTTTTACAAAGTTTGGTGTCATCTGCAAACACTGAAACATGACTTTCAATGCGGTCTTCAAGATCATTTATAAACATGTTAAATAGAAGGGGTCCCAGAACAGACCCCTGAGGGACACCACTTGCCACCTCTGTCCAGCTTGAAAATTTACCATTAATGACAACTCTTTGTACTCTGTTTTAAGCCAATGTTCTACCCAAGAACAAGCATTTTCATCTAGACCGATTTCCTTGAGTTTGAACACTAATCTATTGTGTGGAACTGTATCAAATGCCTTGGCAAAATCCAAATAGATCACATCCACGGCAACACCCTGATCTATACTTCTACTTACTTCTTCGTAGAACGCAATCAAGTTAGTTTGACATGACCTGTGCTTCATAAAACCATGCTGATTTTTGCTGATAACCATGTTCTTCTCAAGGAATTCTTGAATATTATCCCTTAATAACCTTTCAAATATTTTACCAGCCACAGAAGTTAAGCTCACAGGTCTATAATTTCCAGGCAAGGATTTTGAACCCTTTTTGAATATAGGAACCACATCTGCCTTCCTCCAATCCTCCGGAACACTTCCTGAAAGAAAAGAATCTTGAAAGATTAAAAACAGAGGTTCACTTATTTCTGCACTTAGTTCCTTAAGTACACGTGGATGGATACCGTCAGGCCCTGGAGCTTTGTTTATATTAACTTTCTTTAGTTGCTGCAGCACCTTGTCTTGAGTTAACCAATTACAATTATTCTGCAAGTTTTTAGTAGCAATCATTTGCACATCTATTGCCATGGGTTCTTCCTTAATATATACGGAGGAGAAATAGTTATTTAAAATTCCTGCCTTTTCCTGGTCTTCATTAACTAACACCCCCGTTTCAGTTTTTAGTGTACCTACACTTTCATTTTGTTTTTTTTTAGAATTTATGTACTTAAAAAATGCTTTGGGGTTGGTTTTGCTCTCTTCAGCTATCATTATTTCATTTTGAAGTTTAGCAAGTCTAATTGCCTTTTTGCACGCATTATTTGCATCCTTATATCTTTTATAAGATGCATCTGATTTGTCCGATTTAAATGCTTTAAATGCCCTTCTCTTAGTTGTAATCTCTTGTTTTACTTCTCTACTAAGCCACATTGGTTTTAATTTGTTTCTTTTATATTTATTTCCCAATGGTACATACTGAGAAATGTACCTTTGTAATATTGGTTGGAAGATGATCCATTTATCCTCAGTGTTCTTTTCACTAAAGAGTTTATGCCAGTCAGTATATTGTAAAGCTTCCCTTAACTTATTGAAATTGGCCTTTTTAAAATTATATGTTTTAGTATTCCCCATGTGCTTTTGTTTTTTTGAGTTTATTTCAAAGGACACTATATTGTGATCACTATTTCCCAAGTGCTCACCTACTTGAATGTTGGTCAAAAGATCAACGTTGTTTGTTAAAACCAGGTCCAGACAAGCATCCATTCTAGTTGGTGCTTGTACAAGTTGTGACATGAAGGTGTCATTTAACAAGTTTAAAAACCTAATTCCCTTTGCTGAGGCACTAGTCCCTCTGTCCCAATTTATATCCGGGTAATTAAAATCTCCAATAATTAAAGTGTTACCCAGATTTGCAGCTTTCTCAATTTGCTCAAACAGCTGTTGTTCCTCGTCAATATTAACATTAGGTGGTTTATAACATATCCCAACCAATAGTTGGTGACCTATCGCTTTGACGGCGATGCTTACAGGGAGGAGGTCAAGAGGCGGTTAACCAGATATGGCCCGAATCTTTCGACAGAGGCAATTCTGGCAACCATGCGCAAGTTGGATGAGGAGAATCGAGCGGCATGGGAATTTGAGCTCCGAATGCGGAGATTGGGGCTGTGGCCAATTGATCTCTCTCCCCAGCGGCAGACAGCATCCCAGGGAGAGGAGATTGTCGATCCCTCGTCCCTGCAACAACCATCATCACTGGGAGTTGAGACAGTCGCTCTG